CCCCCCCCCAGTCTCCTCCACCGCAGCATCCTGTCCAGTATCAGTCTCCTTCACACTCACACTAAACAAGATCTAGAACCAGTGTCCTGGGCACACCCCAGTCAGGCATAGGAAGGTTTTCAGATCACCAACACTGTCAAAGATATCACCTCTTGGTGCCTTTTGGATATGCAGCTCCCTGAGCAGGACCTCCCTTCCCTGTCCCCTCAAAGTGGAGGATTTCATTCATTCTTCCAGATCCAGCTTAGTATCATTTACCCAGGAAACCGTCCCTGACTGTTCCTCCCTGGGCTTCTTTCCTCCTTGGGGCTGCAATGCCTCATTCATGGTGGCATTTCTCACAGCCAGGGCTTGTCTGTGGCCGTGCCAGTGGGTGGCTCCTCCAGGCTGAGCCTGGCCAGAGCAGGCTTCAGACCTTTCCACTGAACTGAATCGTATCACTGTACTGTCTCCTCCCAACAGATTTCCCCTCCATGAAAGAGGCTCCCCGAGACTGGCTGGCATTCGTTTTAAAGCAACAAACAAACAGAAAGACAATCCCACCCTTACGCCCCTCCCCAGGAGAAAGGCAGACACTAACCCTGACACCCTTTATACTGAGAAAAGACACTTAATAAGGAACAATTTAGAGGCTCCTTTGTTCCATTTCCAGCAGATTATCTCCCCAGCAACAATAAATATCTCTCTCTGCAGCTAAATTAGCTAATTGCTCATGGTTCTCAGGGCTCCTGCTCTTGAGGATGAGGGACTGCTACTCACCCTCCCCTACCTCCCATCATCCTTTCTCTCTTCTGGTCATAACCCCTATCTGCACTCAGAGCACACTAATTCCATTTCTCTGCTCACCTGGCCAATCCTAGCCCTGCATCTGTATGAGCCCAGGGATTGGTCCACAGATGACAGGTGCTGGAAACTAATCCAGTCAGAGAGAATCTGACCACTAGTGTAGTAGGGAAAGGACTCCAGACATTTCCCACTAGAGAGCTTTATTACCTCCTCTTTCTGGTATTTTTTTTATTGTTGTTTTTGTTTTTGTCTCCTTAATCTTTTTTTTAATTTATTTTATTAATTAATATTTAATTATTGATTTTCTTTATTTGTAGCATTGCTTTACTTGTTGACATATAGTACAACTTTTTTTTGGGGGGGGGCATCCAGTCATGGGGCCTGAACTCTGGGCCTGGGCCCTGTCTCTCAGCTTTTCAGCTCAAGGCTAGTGCTCTGCCACTTGAGCCACAGCGCCACTTCCGGCTTTTTTCTTTTTGCTTATGTGGTGCTGAGGAATCGAACCCAGGGCCTTATGCATGCAAGGCAAACGTTCTACCACTAAGCCACCTTCCCAGCCCTGTCTCCTTAATCTTGTGACTGAAGCCTCACTAGAAGGAGAGAGACCCTGAGAGAAACCAAGTCCAGAGAACTCATTTGAGTTAAAGCCCTTCACCTGAAGGTTGCCCCAAATCTAGACTTCTCAATACCTGAGCCAGTCCAGAGTATGGGTTTTGTTTTCTCTCTGCAACGCAAAGGGTCTTCACAGATGGACAAATCCAGACCTCATCAATTGAACTTACGTGATGAGCAGCAAGGGTTCTGGAGGGGAGGAAGTCTCCACAGGACAGGGCTCCTTTAGTTCCTCCTACTCTGACACATCACAGCACCTGTCTGATGAGCCACACTGTTGCCCAACCACCGAAGGACCCCATCTACAATGGTGGTCAAGAACTTCAAGGGCAACCACAGAGGACAAGCGAACCAAAGCCCCCAACCTGACAGGAAGACTCCCCTGGCAGGCTTCCCCAAACTA